ACCAACTCAATAGCACTTAACAACATGATGTTATGCTGAATACAGTCTACAGGATCAGATTGAGCTGTGAAAGAAATGAAACAAGTCGAGTGCACAGGGACCTACTACCATCAAGAATCAAGAGGCTGGATGGAATGCATCCTTTGGACTTGGGGGTCTATGCATTGTGAAACTCTTAGATCCTGGGAAAGATTGATAGAGCTCTCCAAGGAATGCTGGGCCTATAAATGCTGAACGGAGCCAAGGACCTTTCTCCAGAGCCAGTGTTCTGAGTTTGTACTCCTAAACTGTGAAAGAATAAATTGTTGTTTTTAAAAGGTATCCACTTGTATTTCTGATGTAGCACCACTGGCTAAGTAAGACTGTGTTTTCTTGCTTTTGTTCCTTTCTCTGTAACACTTCCATATTCTAGGAATCATGTCACATGAAGAAAAGAGTTGCTTTTCACCAGTTAAAATGGTCATTGTGCAAGCGTGATTTGTTCAGCCAAGGTATAAGAGCTGATGTCTGTATAGTTTAACGGTTAAAATCAGGTATGCTGTGAATAAACACTCTCAACATTTAGTAGGTGTTGTAAAATAAATGAAGACAGTGGGGATAATCCTATTAGTGAACTGCTAAGACTACTTTGGAGTCCTGATGTGGTGCTGTAGGATAAGCACTGAACTGCAAGGTCAGTGGTTCAAACTCACCAGCCACTCCTCAGAAACCCTATACAGACAGGGTGACTATGAGTCAGAATGGATTAGACAGCATTTAGCAACAATAACAAGATTAATTTACTTTCAAAGCTGTTTAACACTAATGAAAATTTGCCTATGGTCATCAGTTTGCACTGAAGAGTGGTGAAGTGAGCAGAGTATTACGATGTAGACAGAAGTCCTATGTGTTAGTCATCAGTCTTCCACTTACTACTCAGATGACTCAGTAATCCCACCACCAGTCTCTTCACCTGAGCTGGGGCATCCTTGGAAGTACAATGGGTTGTGGTTATAGTGAACTCCTTCATAGTGGCCTCAGTTCTCCATATCCTCTGGCATGCTGGGAGTAATTATTTTATAGATTTTTAGCCAAAGTTCACACACTCACTTCTACATCCTGTTATGTTAGACCACCGTCAAGCATGCAAAACCCTTCAGTCATCTGTCATTTCTTATACTCTGACCTCCATACTATTTTGTTCTGGGCTCATTCCTTTATCAGTTAATACCCTGTATGAGGCAAAAGATATAAAATCACACTGTAATGAGCTTAAACAATAAAAGGGATTTATTGACTCATACAACTAGAAAGTCTAGCTCTACACAACAGCCTTCATAGTTAGTTGATTTAGGAGCTTAATGATGTCATTAAATATTTGGTTTCCTTCCTTTATTCTGTCATTCAGTGTTTATTTCATTTAGTCAGGTTCCGCTCTTTCCCATAAGATGGTGCCAACTGCATTCAAGGATACAAGCTAGCTCAGTGAGAATGAAACCCTTTTTGCTCGCAGTGTTCTAAGCAAGAGTTTGAGGGATAGGAGCAGCCACTTCCAAAGAATATAATGTGGGTTCATGTGATAGGGATAATACGTAGATAACCAACACATATCTACGTAGCTGTTACACTCCTAAACTTCTCCACTGTTAACTTCTGGAATGCTTTTTCCAAGATAAACAAGCTCCTCTACATTTCTATATTCTTCTTTGGGTCTTCCCTTCTCTTCCTTACCTGTACTGAAATCCACTCAATTCCAAGGAAAATATTTTCCCTACATCTTTATATCTACCATATCCATACCACAAAATAAAGACTGCATAACATCATCTTTGACCCACCCCTAACCCCAGGCATACCAGATCAGTACTTCTTCACCACTGTATAAAAACATCTTTGAGACAATCTAGTTTTACCACCATTCTATACCTTAGTCACGATGAGTATTGAAAATACCATGGACTACCAAAAGAATAAACAATTCTGTGTTGGAAGAATGCTCCATAGAAACCAGAATTCTCCTTAGAAGATGGCCAGACTTCATCTCTCATGCTTCAGACATATTATCAGGAGGGACTAGTCCCTGGAGAAGGACATCATTCTTGGTAAAGTGAAGGGTCAGCAAAAAAGAGGAAGACCCCCAATGAGATGGACTGGCACAGAGGCAGCAACACGGGCTCAAATTTAACACCATTGTGAGGATGACACAGGACCAGGCAGAGGCTTGTTCTATTGTGCACAATGTTGCTAGCAGTCAGAGCCAATTTAATGGCACCTAACAACAATAACAACTGCTAACCAAAAGACTGAAGGTTCACGTTCATCCCAAGTTGCCGCAGAAGGAAGGCTCGATGATCTACTTCTATAACCTCAGCCTTGAAAACTCTATGGAACACAGTTCTATTGGCATATATGGGGTCCCTATGAGTTAGAATTAACAGCAGCTGCGTTTTTGATGGCCTCTCTTACTTTCTGAAAGACCTGTACTCGTATTTCCTTCCTTAAGGACCTTGCTTTACTTGTTAATTGTTGTCAAGTTGATTCTGATTCATAGAGACCCTGTATAGGGTTTCCAAGGAGCAACTGGTGGGTGCAACCCGACCTTGCTATCCAGTGCTTATCCTACAGTGCCACATCAGGACTTTAGGCACTTCAAAAACTTGAAACAAATTCCACTTTTCCACAAATGTTTTGAAGTCCCCTTATATGTTTATGAGTCCTGGTGTGGCGCTATAGGAAATGCGTTGGTTCCCAGGTTCGTTTTGACTTGCAGGTTTGTTGTTTCGGCTTCCCCGGCCCTTCTTCCCAACCCTTTTCCGAGTTACTTTGAGTTGGAATGGACTCAATAGCACTTAACAGCAACAACAACATATGTGTATAATAATTAACTGAAATTTGATTTCCAATGACATAATAAAATTTATGTTCTTAAACATTATATTCAAAGTTGGAATATAAATATGTTTATTCTTAATTTTTTTATGTAAGGCCAAGGCCTTTTCACCGAGTATAGATCAGTTGATTGGTGTTCCTCACTGCCTTTATTGCATGGTGGTGATATGCTGTGGAGTCTGTTCCGACTCATAGTGACCCCGTACAGGATTTCCTAGGCTGTAAAAAGCCTTATCTTTCTCCCGCGAAACAGCTGGTAGTTTCAAACTGCTGACCTTGAGGTTAGCAGCCCAACTCGTAACCACTATGCTACCAGACCTGCGATATGCAGATGA